ATTGCATGGTAGAGTGGTCAAAACATAATTTCTGCTATATGTGGACAATATTAGCTTCTGAGACCGAGTTGTACTTCCTTTTCCACAGAGGAATATTACATCTATTGGTATTTTTGTTGAATACTTGAGTACATTTAGAGCATTTGTCTGCAGGCACTGCATCGAAAAGGAACTTATTTTACTAGTTCAAGTTTTTTTCTCACAATGGTAAGGTCTGTTTGCACCCAGCTGGCAACCAGCTTAACATTATCAATCTGCATTATGGAGAGATCGCTGCTGTTCCAGTACATGTCATTTGTGTAAATGTAGAACAACAGAGGGAATAAAATGTTTCCCTGAGGAACAGCTGGAGAAAAAAAAAGCTACTTAGAGACGATGTTAAGGCCACGGTCTTCTTCAAGCGTTTGTCTAATCATGTCCAATGGTACTTTTTACACCTTCTTTGTTTTGTTTTTTCTTTAAACCCTCAAAGGCAGAATGACAAGCCAAGATGCAGTAATTGCTCAAATGGGAATAACAGCAGAAACCTTTGGACAAGCTCGACTCGAATGTCTTCTTTGTGTTTTCCTCTTTTGTAGATGTAATCGGCGATGAAGGCAATCGTGTAAAAGAGGATAAAAATGAGTCTTTGTGGGAGAGAATCCTGGATTTTCTCATACACCTACATACTCGGTGGTTTTTTTAGGAAAGTTACCAACATTTTCTCAGACATCCATTCGAGACATCAGAAATGTGCAGGGCGCCATTCAATGGTATGACAAGCGCTTTGTTTTTACACGAGCCCCTTTGGGATGCAAAGTGAAGAGGGGCTGTGAGGAGGAACACACCGGAGCTAACAACCTGATCAGACAAGACGCTTCCCGGATGTCTAGAGATGGGATAGCCAGCCGACTGTTTAATGGGTAAACTCCGGCAGTAAGTTTTGAACCGCGTCTGCCCGGAAAGCGGCGAGGGAACGTAGTTATGTATGTATGCTGACAACTTTTAATGGTTTTCATATTTTTTTGAGTTGTTTGAAATTGCTTTCTTCCTCCCCCTTGTGCAACTTTGTCCCTGAGGTAAAAAAATATTCAAGTTAAACACGGTTTATATTGTTTGTGTGCGGCTAGCCTTGAGGCGGTGGCGCTAAGTAATTCAACCTCAAGTTGCACGTCAGCAAAATGCACTCAACAATAATAATGCTTTACAATTTGAAGCTCACTTTTTTTTCTTTCTGTGCCGTGCTGACACAGTGTCCGTGGCACTTGCATAATTTAGCCATGTAGTGCTTGATACATATTTCATAGATTGATCGCTATATAGATATTGTTTATGGTGAACAGATATTAGCATTGAGTACAGTGCTCGCTGATGATCTACATGCGGGGTTATGACAGCTACTGAAGGTGCCCTTAGAGCAAATTTATAGATATGGAAGTGAGCACAATTCCCACATGTTTTATAAGAGAGCCAAGGAAGAATATGATATATGCGCGGCCTATAATTCATTCAAGGTTTCACTGTTATCCATTAAAGAATGCTATTTTCCATCCATAAATGCATACGAATATGAGCGTGAATTTATGTATCCTTCTCCCTTTATCTCGCACATATCCTGTAATGGTCAAGAATGTTATCTAGATATGCTTGTCCTCTACTTTGTCTTCATCCTTTCCTCCCTCTATCTCGGTTCATCTTTTTGTCTCTCTGATTTGCATATCCAGGTAGACATGTGTGGCTCGGATTTTATCCTTTAATACCATATTGTCAGTTGCTGATTGCGAAAGATTGCGAGACACAAAGCTGTCATTAGATCCCTTATCTTCAGAGAGGGTTCTTATTATACCTAAAATAAAAAAAAGCATCTCATGACACCACGTTCAGTTATAATGACCTGCAAATTCCTCTTTTTCTTTCTCTCTCTCGCACCACGATTCCTAAAAAAAAACAACCCTGTCGAGCTATTGTGGAACAACAATGATATTTGTTTACAAAAATAATGTTTGTTTACACCGAGATCTCCGCGGGGGTACCTCCGGTAGTCGTAGAAGTAGCTCGAAAATTGTTTTCATATCTTGAGTTATGCCTTCATTTCTGGCTGTTATTGTGCCGTCTGGTGCAGGTGTGTTATCATCCAGGCGCTTCTTTTTTTACCAAAGCCGCAGGTTTAATGTAAATTTCTGATCCTTCGGCCGCGCTTATTGATGATTCATTCTGCCGCATCGCCTCTCGTGGAGACGGTTAACCACATATGTCATGTCTGATTCTCTATAACTGATTGACTGCCGTTGCAATGGAGGATAGTGAAAACAGTGCCGATACCTTAGGAGGGATAAGATGGATGATTTACACTTATTCCAATGATCTCGAGTAGCCCCTTACTGACACCAGCTGTCATGTTCCAAAGCACTCTTATTTACGAGTATTAATTACATGAAATCTAATATTGCGACTGTATTTTTTTCATGCAAAACATAGTGATGGTAGAAGTTATTCAGAGCACGATTGATGCCACTTAGCTTTATATCTCAACTTTTGCTCATGATTCTTCTAGGGCTGGTCCAAAGAGCAGTTTCTGTTCTTTGGATATTCGGCCCAATAAGTGACGAATATTCACAAATGGGGGTGGGGGGGATGCTGGAAGTAGGCATTTGGCTACTAACACCAGTTTAGGTGTATAGCCACAGCACCGTTTCGGCAGTGACGGCCGGGGGGTGCTGAGCACATTCGGTCAGATAGTCACAGTACTGTATCCGTCATTAGTGGCGGCGGTGGCAGTGGGGGGGGTGCAATATTCAGAGATCAAAATTGATATCCCGATTGTAGCACAGTGAACGAATAGACGGCTATTCGGGTCCAGCCGTAGATTCTTCCTTTTCATCCTTAAACATATGTAGAAACAAATGACAATTTAAAGGAAAACCCAACATAGAGTGTCTTAGTAAGGCGCTGTTCCACCAGAAGAGCGTCAATGCCAAGGTGCATTGACCCTGAACCCTGCTGGAGGGATGGAACACCATTTTTTGAGATTGGAATCTAACATGTTGGTCCAAAATCTCCAATAGGTGTTCAAGTAAGTTGGGATCTAGTGACTGTGAAGGCCGTAGCACATGATTCATGTCATTGTCACACTCATTCGATAACCTCTCAGGCCCTGTGGGTGGGGGTGCTGTCATCCTGGAGGAGACCACTCCCATCAGGATAGACATGTTTCATCATAGGTTCAGGTTTGTATTGATTTGCAGTGACTCTTCCCTCTAAGGTGGGCTCAAATCATGTCACAAAATGCTCCTTATACCACAACCGAGCCACCACATTCCACCATAGGGGTCCAAGTGTACGGGTTTTCCCTTTAAATTGCCACTAATTTGCTTGTATACACCTTATTTACATAAAGCATTTGACCTCTATGCTCGTTTTTGTTCTAGCCAATTGCTAACTTTGTTCTAAAACACCTCAACCCTTTGATGACGCAGCTATTTCTCTCATCACTGCAGACTTCTAGCCAGACTAAGACAAGGCCGCTATGATATCAGGTTCAATACTTTGGACGCAGCGGTAGGCTTTCATTCTGAGCACAAAGCCTGCAGTGAGACAAAGATCTACCGCGGCCTCGAGAATAAAACTACTCTCGCAAAAAAAGCAGGTGGAGGAATTACGTGTCGATGTGCATCCTCCGAACGCCGACGACGACGGCGGTTGGCAGCGAGAACAAAAACAAGGAGCAGTGACACAACAACACGTTATCCGCCGGAATAAAACCGAAAAACGTTAGATTGCATTGCAGCTATAACGTTTAGATATTTATCTGCGGTGTCGTCATGTTTTAGTGTATCGGCGAATGGAATCCGTTGAACCCGGAGGCTTTCTCTGGGAAACTCACTAACTGCAGTAAAGCAGAACAGGCTGAGACAAACAGTACGGAAAAGATGAACAAATCACAGCATGTAGTTGTGACAAAAAATCTTGTGGAATGCACTGAATGTCCCAGTTTGTTGAAGCTGTATTTGACAGATTTTTTTTTTTTTTTTTTGTATCCCTGGTGGTAGAAACTTAATGTGCAGGGCTTACAAAATATTCCATCCTGCTTGAAACGTTGCAGAGTGGTGTAAAAACCTCCTAAATATCTTCTGTGATGTTTGATTTTATTTACCTGACTGATCACAGCTCCCTCCATTTCTCTCCATCTGTCTGATTCCCCTCCATCTTTCCCTCATCTCTCACTGTCATCCCCTGCTCTCGTACCTCTCAATTGTCTCTTTACTTCATTGCTCTTCATCTACCTGCATATCTTGTCTCTCTTTCAACCCACCCCTTCTGCATCTCTTCATCTTTTTTCAATGCATTTATATGTATTGCTACATTTTTTTTTCACCCCCCCACGTCTCCCTTTTTCCATAATTTTTCAATCGTGTTATATCTCTGCCCATATCTGTCTTCCTCCATCTGTCATCCCCCCAACCCACTCTCTCTATTTTAATCGTTACATCTCTGCATCCACTTCGCTCTATCATGTCTCTCTATCTGTTTATTTCTTCCTGTTTTTTTTTTTTTTCTCCCTCTTCCCCTCCACCTCCACTACTCCTCACCTTTCTGATCTTTCTTTCCGTCTCCTCTGCAGCTGGCATTGTTCGGAAAAAGCAGTGGTGTGAGATGGTGCCATGTTTGGAGGACGAAGGCTGTGACCTGTTAGTCAATAAATCTGGATGGACTTGTACACAGCCCGGAGGCCGAGTCAAAACCACCACGGTGAGTTCAGGCTCTCTTTCGGTCCCTGAGGTTACGCCAGCCACACACAGACCTGCAGACAGAAAGCCAGTTGCGATGTAAACCCAAAATAAGGAAAGATTGCATTACAACAAATCTCTTTTTTTAATTTATTTATTTTTTTAAATCTCAATATCATGTCCATATGGTACGGTCGATGGTACGATGCCATGGCTGAGCATTTCCTGCAGCGTATCAAATCCAACTTCATATGTAACAAAACCTAAAGTCTTCTTGCAATGACCTTCTGCATCATCATCCTCCTTTTTGAAGAACTGGTTTCCAGTTTAAACATGTATGGCTAAACTACTCCAGTCCTGCAACTTGCGTGGTGCAAAATAGCGTTACAGTATTTGAGCAGAGTCGTAGGCGAGCTGGTGTGCTTGAGCAGCAACCCAGCGATGGGGAAAGAAAGTGGTACACCAAAGCCATTTGTAATCAGGAAAGGATTCTCTTTATTTTAAAAACATCATAATATATAACTTTCATACACAGGGATGAGTTTTTAAGGAATTTAAGGAAGCAGTTTTCCTGTGTAGAACCCATTTTAAAAAGCCGAGCCACTGTGAAGGATCAAAGCTCTGATTCAAACAGTTTTACAGCAGTGTGTTCGACTGCAATTGCAAACTATATTTTGTTGTTGAGTATTAAATTGCGGCCATTTGACAGTGTGTACACGGAGGCTGAGCTCAAACAGGACGAAACTGAAATCTCAAATTTCACAGGAATTGTTCTTTTATAGTTTTAATATATATATACATGCAAAAACAATGTCATGTAAGCCTGTTAGTCAAACCGCTTAACGCGAGAAAATGAACCCTTTAAAAGATGAAAGAAACATTGTGTGCTCTGTGCTATTAAATGCACCTTTTCAGTTCTATACGTTCAGGTTCAATCGGATTTTTCATGGTGTGACACGACCTGCAGCTCAGAGTGGCTGATATTATCAACGTTTACATAAATATACCTGCAAAGATATCGCCCAATTGTATGATTGGTCTGTACTTGTGCGAGTAGTTACACTAAAATTGTCACAGATAGACTAAATGGATGTTTTCTGCGTCACACATGTCATCGTATTTCATTCCCTCTCAGCCTGGTCACCTAATCATGACTTCTTAACCCTCTGAGCCGCAAAACCCACGAATTTGAAAGGTGTGTTATTTTTAAAACAAATCCCCCAAATTACAGAATTCATCGAAGACTGAAACTTCGTCATAATTTGTCATTGAACTAATCACCTGTAATGAAATCTGTTCTTAAAATGATGATATTTCATAGAAAAGTGTGTGATGTCTAATTTTAAAGATTAAACATATTCTATAAAAAACTAAGAAAAACATCTGTTCTTCTTGGTGCCACGGTGCAGCATCAGTGACTCCGCTGTGACCAATAGCCAGGGGTCAAAGATTCAGCTGAACTGCACTAAACTGCAGGCTGCAGACATAAGTACAAATACTTATAATATGTAGAGTCACTATTTGTTTTTCCAGTATTAATACCGCCTGCAGGTACTTGAGAAAATGTTGTACAACTTTTGTAAATTAAATCATTTTAATTTACTTTTATGTTCTATGGCATTATAACTTTAATAATACTTCACAGAAGACATTTCTGAGTTCTCTCTACTTCTAGCCATGGTTGTGCTGTTTCCATAGAGGCGCAGGACATAATTTTGCAATGAAAAATGAGCCCACAGTGAATAAAAATGTGACCAAGAATGACCCAGAAACTGCTTGGGGTTCAAAGGGTTAAACAAAACAACATGATGTGATTTTTTGGGGATATATTTACACAAAGAGCAGACACACGCAACATTCATTTGGATTTGTTTTTCTGACCACATGCTAAGACCAAGTCCAATATTGTTTCTTCTTTTTGCTCAGTTTTGGTCTCCACCACATCCTACAGAAAAACTGTGATTCCTGAGCTGCTCTACTGCAGTATGTTCAACAGCTTAATACTGATGTTTGTTTGTTTTCTGTTTGGTGCTGGGCAGGTAGTCTAGATATATAAATTGAAAACAGCTGTACACTGTGACTTGACACCATGTTGGTCAGAGTGAAACAGTATTTTAAAGGCGTATTTTGTAAAACCTAAACAATTCGTCTATTTTTATTACAAAAATACAGAATTAAACATCTTACTGTAATTTTATTTTGCCATCTTTGACCACTGTTGAGCTTCAGTGTTGTCCTGCCTCACATGACCTTTCAAGCTCTTCGGTGCACCTTTGAGCAGCATCTCCGGCTGTTGCTACGCCGTGCTTGGTGCCAGCTCGTACATCGTCAGCCACGAGTGCACTGCAGAAAACCCAGTTAGCATTCACTTCACAAACCTCCCGCAAATGTTTCCCGCCCTCCTCGTCTCCAGCTCGTCTCCACAAACTCCGCGCGCTTTGTTTACTTCCTCGTTGCCAGCAATTAGCTCGAATTAGGTGCGTTCCTAATGTTAATGATGGCAGCAGATGGGGAGCCACCGCTTGTATTGGCTCACACGCCGCCCCATTCATCCGCCCGCCCGTCCTCCACACCCTATATCGAGCTCTCCCAGCCTCCTCCTCTCCACTTCACCTGCTACTCCACCCCATCTCCTCCTCGCCCGACGAGCGCCGTCTTCCCACGGCGTTCACCCAGACGCCCACTTTGCAAGAGACGCAGGCACTGTTGCTCTGCTGTTTGCCTATACTGCAGCAATTAAAGTGGCCTCAGTTGAGAAACATGTTACGCAAGGCGCACACACAACACAGCTGCCCTATCTGTGAATGTCAATGGGTGAGCACTGAGGACCGGTGGGGCATCATTAATGCATCTGTCATGATTTAGTCATCAGCTGACTAACTTGTTTATGCCTTCGTTCGCTGAAAAACAAACACACTTAAACACACGGCGGAAACGCACACTGAATGCCGAACTGAGGTGATACGCTTTGCTATCAGTCGGCTGCTGCCTCTTACTGCGTCGTGAGTCATGTGTGTCTCTCGGTGCTCTGACACAAACCTGAGCATGAACCTGGTCGCGGAGACCGTGGTGACAGCCGTTACATGTTCCACCTACAATGTAATTTGTTATCTGGGCAGGCAGATAGCCCACACACACTCATCGCAAGCACACTGTAGCTGGATCCATTTATTAATTTTGACAGATGTAGTGTGTGTTGAGTATGCAAATACAGTGCCTGTAAGAGGTATTCACCTCCACTGGAGATTTCTCCTTTTACTGCTTCCTAAACACTGATTCATGGTCAATTTAATGTGTTTAAAGACTCTTTCAAGGGAAAAACAGATTTCTACAAAGTAATGCTAATCAATTAAAAAATACAAAATGCACAATTAGTGACAGCATCAGTGTTCGTTGACATTAAAGAGACTCACCTGATTCAACACGGCTGCAGCCAACTGGGGCTAGAAGTCGCACAATTAGTGGAACTGAAATCAGTTCAGTGCAGTAAATCTCTAGTCATGTTATTATAAAATACTTTGAGACCAAAACTGAGCTGTTAGACACCAAACACTGCACATCATCACAAACACACTGGTGGTGGCAGCATCATGATGTGGGGGTTTCTCTAGACAGCAGGCCCTGAAAGGCTTGTAGAGGTAGAGGGTAAAAAGAGTCTCTCTATGTGGCATTTGTTTTGTCCTCAGAGATGCTTGTCGTCTGATCTTCTACAGTTTGTTCTTGCAGAAAAGTATAAGGAAATCATGTGAGGCAACCAGATGTAGTTTGCAAGAAAGCTAAAGACAAAGCAGAAATGGCCAACAAGGTGATGGTTCTGGTTTGGCTGAGTCAGAGCCCAGACCTCAATCCAATTGACAATTTGCAGCTACATGACATAACATGAACAGTTTTGTAAAGAACAACCGGATTAAATTACAGTGTCCAGATGTGCAGGGATAACTGAGACCTATCCACTCAGTATCAATGCTGTAACTGTGTCCAAAGGTCCATCTGTTAAATACTGATGAGAAGGGGGTGAATGCAATCAGTTATTCTACAATTTGTATTTTGAATCATTACTTAGAAATCCTTTAGAAGCCCTTTTGTTTGGTAAATTTTTAGTAAAAATTATATTAACCATGATTCAGTGTTGAAGCGCAATGAAAGAAGACTATTTTTATCAGCACTGTATGTTCGAAGGCTGACAGATCCACTGCATTTATTACACATGCTCTCACTGGTGAGCGTCGCTCTGTGTTTTCCAGTCTTCCCACATCCAGAATAGCGAATATGTGTCCCCGCTTTCTTGCAAACGGTGGCCCAGCACGCCTTGGCCTACATGTACATTTCACATCCTGCTTAGGATGTCAGTCAATGTAGCTCTCATCGGCTTATGCTGACAATATGCAGGATGTGACAGGTATTTCTTGCCTGCTTCATTGGCTCCTTTAAACTTGGTGACAGCTAGTCAAATGGCTGGACAGCTATGCGCACTCATCTGTGCCAGTCCATGTGTGTGTTTGTGTGTGTGTGTGGATGTGTGTGTTTCTGTTTAAGCAGCTTTCACTGTCAGAGAGTCTAATAACTGGCAACAAGCAGACTGGGGTCATTGTTTAAAATTCGTCTTAAAATATTCATTTATTTGATGGATGGACTGGCCTAATGCGGCCGCCGCTGCCTCGCCTTCAATCTCGTGCGGGTCGAGGAGGATTCAGGATCACAGTCATCCAGACTAAAAATTGCCCCGATGCGTTGAAGTTTAGAGGCCAGTTCTCCCTGAGCGAAAATTACCTAAACCTCTTGTTATCTGCAGGCCCAAGGGAGAATAAGCCACAAAAACAAAACAAACTATTTACTGCTCAATCTCCCTCTGGTTAGCGTTGAACAAAAGCGCCCCTTCCCTAAGGCTTTTCAAGGTTAAACCCAAACTGCAGTCACCCCGATACTGCCCGAGGATGACTGTTGGCTGTGCACAGTCCAGTGAGCATGTCCGACCTGTCTGTCAGGTGTTTGTGCGAAAACATCAATGCAGACAAACAGACA